TTCTCGCATACAGATGATTTTTTCGAGACCGGAAAAAGTTTTCCAAAAGTACTTTCAAACTGTCAACAAAATATTCGCAAAACCATTTTTTTTAGCGGAGAGGGAAAAATTATTTGCTTCCTCGTTACGACGCTTTCTGCGAGATTAAGTGCCGGAAAATTGACTCAGTGAAGCAAGTTTTCAAGTGCCATGAAGCAAGTGGCAAGGATTTCCAGATACAAAAAAAAAATCATCAAATTTATCTTCACACTTATGGAAAATTGGTTGGATTTCAGAGGAAACAATTTCACAGACGACAATTACAAAAATAATTAAAAATTTGGGAAAACAATAAAAAAGCTAATTAAAAATGAGTGATAAAACGAGGGGAATAAATAAATAAATAAATAAATAAATAAATAAATAAATAAATAAATAAGTGGGGGAAAATAATGAAAAATCACTTCTAATGATAAGAAACTTGCGTGATTGTGTAAATCGGCAACACCTGTTGAATGGAGTGGTTGGGGACAAATAAACAAATTAGTCACGAGTTTTTGGATGCAGGTCAAAACCAATTAAGCTATTTGATGAAACAGGTGTTAATGCAAGTAAAAAACCATTGTTAGCGAGAAGTGTGGAACAAATAAATGGATAAAAGTCGTAAATACACTGGGAATGTTAAAAATAAGTAAACATACAAATGAATAAGTATAGAAAAAATATACGGGCACATAAGCACGTGGGTAAGAAAATAGGCAAATAAAAAAGTAAGCTAATGAATAAGTGTTAGTAAATAATAATATAATTTTCCATAACTTATACTGCTAGTTTTTTTTTTTATTTTTTTTATCTATATATTATTTCTAGTTCCTTCTTCACTTCTTTTTTTTAAAACAATTAAAAATAAGTAAACAAGAAAAATGAGGTGAAAAACAAACAACCATTTAAAAAATGGGGTAGAAAAAAGCATTAATGTGCGAGTTAGAACAGTGGGGTTTACGGAGGTACCCCGATAAACGTCGTTGTCGCCGAAAGGCGCGTATTTGTGTTAGCAGATGATTGATGGCTTTGTTTTTTTTTTCGCATACAGTTCGATGAGGCTGATGTTTTTCGGCGTTTTTTGTACGTTGTTTTTGTCAGTACGGTTAGTGTGCATAAAGAGCGCTGATAGTGAGCGGCTGGAGACAGATCGTCTCGAGCGAGCGGACGGATAACGCATCTCAACAAGAAAATCGGTCCTGGGCAAGACTGCCTACTATTTTTCCCGTACTTTCGCTGTTTTTTCCGGCTCCCACCCTCTACCGTACCGAAGTTTCTCTTAATTTTTTTGGTAGTCTCGTCTTCTTCACTCGGTTTACCTGGATGGTACAATCGGCTAAACTACTACTTCGGATATATTTTTTTCGGTTATATTTAGATCCGAATGTTATGAGGTCGTATCTCCTGATGGGCAGTCTTTTGTATTTGTTATCGTTAAATGTCATTTAAAAAATGAAAAAAAAGCGGGTTGGGGCATTCAAATGTATTTAGCAGTTAGCATGCCGTGCACGTACTGAAATATTTCAGCAAATGTATTACTGCGTAGGAAGAAAAGTGGTAGTTGCAGTCGAGGCGAAGGTATCAAGTAGATTTGCGTGTGAAACCCCTTTTCACATAGCTAAAAAGGAGACGTGCTCACACTCTTTTTCAGGCTAAACCAAAAAAAGATGGGAACAAATGCAGCGCCCCTAAATCCCGTTTGAATATTGGCATTAAACAAAAGAACTGAAAACCTAAATTTCGTGAGCACCGACCGTGCGGCAATGCAGGAAAATCCAGAAATGTAGAAATGCGTAGCAGGGGGAGGCACAACCCTTTTTAAAATATCACTTCCACGCTGAGAAAATTAAAAGAACGTAAGAACTGAAGAGGCAGTAGAGACTGCTGTTGTCCTGAAATGTGGCCGTTCAATACTGCATCATCCAGGCAGCTACTAAAACTCGGCTACACTCGGCCAGTTTAGGAGGCAAGTTGCTGAGGCGGCGAAAGCTAAGAACGAGGGTCGTGACGGGGGGAGGCGAACCAGGTTGTTGACTAGAAAGGAGCTGAAATCTTGCTTGGAAGTAGGAATTGGAAACAGAGGCAAGAGACAACTGGGGAGCTGAGTATATGGGTTTATATTTATATTGCGCAGCAGAAAAAAATGATGCTAAACCAAAGCTGGAAGCTTTGTGCAATATTTAATTTCCCAACTATGTGCAACACCTAACTAGGCTATTTATAACCACAAGTTTAACACCTAACACATAAACTCACAAAAGAGCGCAAACTGTGGGAAGGAACGACGCTGTGAATTGAAGCCTGGAAGGTTCACTGATAGCTCATCTGATGTTATCAGTAATGCTATAAAAATAAAATGGAGAGGCACAGATGCAAAGGCTTTCCGTTGACAACAATCGGCAATAACTGGAACGATGTGTGGTAATAAAATGAAGTGATAAAACAGCGGCAATTGTTGTTGCTCGGCTGACGTCACACTAATAACTGGTACTGGACAACTAGTCAAGCTAGTGTGCGAAATTCCGTATAACTATGGCAAGGAAAAAGAAGATGTACGTCTCTGTCTCATCTCCGTATGAGCACCAAAATTCTCCTCATGGAACAAAAAAAATGGAAAAAACGGTCAAAAAAAGTTTGAAAAATTTACTCAGGACGGTATGAAATAAGTAAGCAAAATTTAGCCCGAAATCTGTGCAATTTTGGTAAGACACCGCGACAACTGATATTGATTTCACACGTTAGTGCTATTACTGGATGCTCCCATACATTGTGCGTAGCTATCTTTGCAATACGAGTGGTCCCTTACTTTTCCACTGGCACCATTCACGAAACATGATCATATCAATTCCTATGACTTTTTGCTATGCAGCGTTATAGCTCTGCTACAGCGAGCAGAAATGTATATTGTGGGGTCGTCCGTATGTGTATGTG